GGCAGGTGCAGGACAAAACAAATGCAACCTTGCAGTCTCCTCGGGCTCAGCTGTCTCGCTCTCTGATTGGCTGAGGGGGTTGGTGCCTGCCTGGAATGTCCGAGGGACCATAACTATAAAAGTAAAGTAGGATGCAGGGCTTACAAATAAAATGTTACATAAACAAATGGTACACTGTATATAATAATATATCTATACACCTCCCCCTCCTTTACGCTCGTAGTGTATCTCGAGCGGATACGGGACTCTTTGCTACGAGTCTGGGTGAGCGACGTGGGGTAACGGGAGGAACATGTAACGACCCTGTTTCCTGGTCTTGGCAAGGGGACACAGGGGACAAGAATGAGGGTTCACACTTGGGCACTGGCACTGGGCGGAGATGTCTGCGGTTACGCCACCATACGCGTCCACTGGGTAGTCGCACTTCATACTGTCGGGACCTACCACAGCCCATGACTACACCGACTTTATCCCATCGGAGGGATTTGTGGTCCTGAATGCGGACACGCTGGCCTACGGATAGCTTGGAAGAGGACGGGCATGGCTATCATAGAGGCTAGTCACTTGGTCGGCTTGGGCAGCGGCGCGGCGGTCCCAGTCGTCAGACTTGGTCTGCCACTCTGCAGAGAAGGACTGGGGGTGGGCAGGGACACAAGTCCGAAGAGGATGGCCATACAAAATCTGGGCAGGAGAGCGGCCAGCAGGGTTGGGGTGTTCCGGAGCTCTAGCAGGCCCCGGTCGAACGCCTCACAGTCGATGTTGCCGTCAGGCGCCGTCTTGAGGATCAAGTACTTCACGGACTTGACCGCAGCCTCGGCGGCCATTAGACTGTGGATAGTGTGGGGACGTCACAAGGTGGTGGACACCCCAGCGTTCAGTAAACCTTCTGAATTCCTCACTGGTGAATGGGGGCCCTCCATCGGTCCTGAGGCGACAGGTACACCGACTTCTCGGAAGTACCGGCAAAACATGCGCATGACCTTAGTTGCGGTTGTGTCCTGACCACAGGGAGTAACCACGGGCCACCCTGAGAGTCTGTCTGCAATGACCAGGAAAGACTTCCCAGCTACTTGAAAAAAGTCAGCGGACACAGACTCAAAGGGGCGTGATGGCTGGTCATCGCATAGGTAGGGTCCTGCTGTTGGCTGGGCTGGAGACGTTGGCAGGAGTCACACGCTTCGACTGTACTCTTTATGTCAGAGTCGATGCCAGGCCAGTAGACAGTCTGCCTGGCGCGACGACGGGTGGCTTCGACTCTTCTGTAGCTATCGTGGAGGTGGGTCAAGGTGCGACGGCGGAGTGTAGCTGGAACAACGATGCGGGGACCATGTAGCACAAGCTCTCCATCTGCGTACAGGCTGTCCCGCAATTTCCAGTACGGGAGGATGGAGGCGTGTAGGCTGTAGCGGTTGGAGGGAAATCCTGTGGTGACGTACTCCAGGAGGCGGCGGTAATCTTGGTCCTGTGATGCGACGGCGCGAAGCTCCTGTAGAGTCCTGTCGTCGTCGAGGATAGGAGCTGTGGCCTGTCTGTTGAGTAGCATTCGTAGAAACAAGGGACCGGACGTGTGCAGCTGTCATGGTACACTTCTTCGTCGTCGAATGTGGGGGCTGACAGGTGCCCGAGAGAGGGCGTCAGGGACGCACAAGGTCTTGCCGGCGCGCCACACAGCGGTGAAGACATACGGAGCCATCTTCACTCTCAAACGCTGGAGTCGGGGGTTTTCTATGGCATCCAACGTGTAGTGGTTCAGGATTGGGATCAATGGCCTGTGGGGTATGAAGGGTAAAGTGCTGAGGCCGGCAAGGTACAGGCGGCACTTTCCCATGGCCCATGAAGCAGCCAGCATCTCCAGCTCGATTGTGGCGTAGCGTGACTCGGCATCGGTTAGAAACCGTGAGCCACACTGGACGAGCCGGAGCTGGCCGTGGCCATGTTCCTGAAATAGGGCGTATCCCAGACCATAGAGGCGAGAGGCGTCAGTTTGTAGAGTCACTGGCAGTTTCGGGTTGAAAGGAGCCAAGACTGGGGGCGATAGGAGGGCAGCCTTGACCTTCCCGAATGCCTGGTCATGGTCTGGGGTCCAAGTGAAGGACCGTTTTGGTGACATCAGAGGGCGGAGAGGCTGGGCAGTGGCCGCAATCTCTGGTGAGAAGTCGGCCAGCTGATTCACAAGACCCATGAACGACCGGAGGTCCGTAATATTGGAGGGTGTAGGGTAGTCTCGTATGGCTGCAACCTTTTCAGGGTCTGCAGCGATGCCCTCTGGTGAGATGTTATATCCACAAAAACTGACCTTGGTGGCGGCTACCATGAACTTTATCCATGGATAATCTGGAAAACTCGAAACGTCGTGAGGAAGAGGATCATCCACTACCTTTACGCAGTTGGTGATGCCTTGCAGAGCCAGGTCCGCGAAGACAGTAGGCATCCCCAGTAGCGGCATCCCATAGCTGTGGTAGTAGCGCCCATGAGGTGTTATGAACGTCGTGAGGTGACGGTCTTCCTCCGCAAGGTCCATTTGCCAATATCCATGCAATGCATCTGCCTTAGTAAAGAACTTGGCAGATGGAGTGATGGTGCGGATAGCGTCAGCGGGTGTGGGCGATGGGTGTGTAGGCCTGGACACTTGGGAGTTAAGGCGTGTGAGGTCCACTGTGATGCGTACACCATTGCCAGGCTTAGGTACCAGGACCATCGGATGGCACCACTCGGAGGGCTTGTCACCGACGGGCGAAATGATCCCTTGCTGCACCAGGGAATCGAGTTCCTCCTTGACCTGGTCCCGGTAGGCGAAAGGTATAGGTCTAGGCGTGTGTATGGCAAAGGGTGTCGCACCTGGCTGAAGGTGGATCCTCATTGGTGGGCCAGACATCTTCAGTGGCGTAGTCTGGAGGTCAGTCTTAGACACAAGGACGTCGCTGAAGTGTTGTAGGAAGTAGGTCCGAGCAGTAGTGGGGGACGACATTGCCGAGGCAGGCATCTGCTGTGCACATCTGTTGACATGGGTCACAGAGAGGATGGGCTTTGGGAAATCTGTAGAGACGATGGCAGGTCCACGCAGTGGGCCATACGAGAGCAGAGGTGTCTGGATGTCCTCGTGAACGTGGACAATGGCCTTGCAGGACGCTTGACCGAGCTGGAGGGTGGTCTCGAAACAACCCAAAGCTGGAGTCATGGACGACCCATCTGCTGTGAGGACGTCAGTCAGGCGGGGTGAAAGATTGCATCTGGGGATTCCCAAGGAGTCCAGGTGCTTCGGGCCAATCACCGTGATATCAGCTCCAGTGTCAGGTAGCATCAGCAGTTGGGAGGACTTTGAGCCATAGGACAGGGTGACATTAACTGGCTTAGGGGTCCTGCCGGTGGACACTCTACGTGCTCTACGAGTCTGGTTGGTAAGAGGTCTTCCTGGTGGACTTACAGCACTTGGCGAAGTGGCCCTGTTTGTGGCAAGTGGTGCATTCAGAGTCCTTTGCTGGGCACCGGGGCGTACGGTGCCAATGACCCTTGTACCCACAATTTGGGCAGGTACTATCTTTTGCTGGGCAATGTCCCACGGCATGTTGACGGTACAGACCTACAGGAGGCGGCGAGTCCTTGGTCAACGGTGGAGACTGACAGCGTTGAGGCGTGTGCTTGGTCGTAGCTGTCATCTTCTGGCGGCGTTGGTTCCTCTTGTATGAAGAGAGGATGTTGAGTTGGCTGGGGGCAGCAACGATAGCAGATGCAGCGGCCCTGGAGGACTCAAAGGTTCTGCAGCAGGTGACAAAGTCATCTAAAGATGCCTGGCTGTCGAGGGAGACAAGGCGCTGCACGAGTTCCTCTTCACGCCCATCAAAAGAATCATCTTAAGCTGTGTTGCAGCACAGGTAGTGCGGTCCCTGTGCAGAGTTCAACTTCGTCAGCTAAGTCCTTCATGCGGGCGTAGAGGCAGAGAAGGGCTCACCAGGCGTCTGCTTGCAGGAAAGGAGTTCCCGGCGTCGTAGGGCTTCGTTCTGCGAGTTGCGGAAATACTGCTGTAAAGCGTCGAGGACTTGGACTACTGGCATGGATGAGTCAGGAGGTATTGCCAGAGTGTAATGCAGCAGCCGCTGAACTTCCAGCGAAACACATGTGCGGAGGTATATGTGTTGTGTGGCTGGGGGTAGACTGTGGAGGCCCATTAGCACAGAATAGTCCTCAAACTTGCGACGCCACTGACGGAACAGTTGGTAGGTGACGTCGGACTGTAGCTGAGGAGGGCTGGGTATCATAGGTTTACCCATGACCAGAGCAGTAATGGGAGCATGTGGAGATCCTGACGTGGTGGCAACAGGTGGAACAGGCGAAAGCTGGTGAGCTGGTGCTTGCTGTTCTGGGCTGGTTTGCTGTACCTGGAGGGGCTTGGGAGCTATCATGCTGAGTAGCTGCATGAAGCGTTCGTCGTTTAGCTGTCGCTGTTGCTCCATTTGAAGACAGTATTCTTGTAGCTCCGCTCGTCGTGCTTGTTCGTCTTGTCGTCGTCTTTCCTCGTCAGAAATGCGGGTGATTTGGAGGTAGTGGATCAAATACTGTAGCTCTTGGTTGTTTTGAATGCTGAGTAGCTGCATCAAGCATTCGTCGTTTAGCTGTCGCTGTTGCTCCATTTGAAGACAGTATTCTTGTAGCTCCGCTCGTCGTGCTTGTTCGTCTTGTCGTCGTCTTTCCTCGTCAGAAATGCGGGTGATTTGGAGGTAGTGGATCAAATACT